GGGTCTTACTACGCAGCTTGAACTCATAGTGATCCACCTGTTTTCAGCCTCCCCAGAGCTGGGACTACAGGCGTACACTACCACGCCGGGGTTCAGCAGCTGGCTCAGCGCACCCAGGGGCAGAGGTCAGCTTGGTGTGTGGGAACGGGATCAAACCCTGGTCCCTGTGTTTGCCAAAGCACGTGCTTAGTCTGCTGAGCTATCTTGCCGGCCCTATAGCTGGAAGTATCTTAAAGGATGCTAGGTAGTAATACAGTAATCACAAAACTTTTGCCAAAGGTGCAGTTTCTTTTCCTAAACTGCCTTCTATTTCCTCAAGGAAATCGCTTCCCATGCTGGGTGGAGCACCAAGGCCTGTAGTTGGAGGCCCCGCCCACACCCACAAGAGACGGACTTGGCATCCAGCCTAGACCTGCCCCCTGGAGGTCAGTGCTGCGCTGCATGCTAGCAGCGGCATTCTTGACATTCAGTTCCTGCCATATTTAGTTCCTGTAGTTGGGATTCGTGCAGAGGTCACTGTCCACGCCCAAACCTGAGTTTCAGCCGATTGAGTCTCTCAGCCTTTGTTCCCCTTCCAATAAGCTGCCAGTTAGCTCAATTGTTTAAGCGCCTGCTCATGCAAATGTAGTCCAACGCAGGCCATTGCTGTTTGATCTCCACCTCCACCTGCATTACCAGACCGGCCCTTAAGGCAGCCTAAGCCGGCCAAAGAAAATTATCCGATCACAGCAGACTTACTTTTCGGATCGGTAGCTGCTTGCAGAGGCCCAGCAAAAGTCAACAATACAGCCAATGGAAAAGGCCTTCTGAAAACATAAATAGGAACAAAAATGTACAACAGAAATTGTGGAATCGGAAGTAACTGTTCAAAAGAAAAAGGGGATAAAAGGAGGGAGAAGAAGGAAAAAATGAGAAAAGGATAAAATGAAAACTGAGCTTTGTGGACAGGCAAGGGAAGGAGGTGTTAAAAGGGGATAGGAATGGGGGAAAATAAAGAATCAAGATATATCATGTGGGGCCGGCGAGATAGCTCAGGGGACTGAAGTGCCTGCTTAGGTAAGCTTAGGCAAGCACAGGAACCACGGTCCAATCCCCAGCACCACATGCTGCGCCAGCTCTGCTCCCAGGGTAGGCTGAGCCAGTCAAAGTCAGAGCGTGGTGGTGCACACCTATAATCCCAGTGCTGGGGAGGCTGAGAGCAGGAGGATCACCACGAGCCCAAGCTGTGTAGTGAGACCCTGCAACAACCAAATACATTTAAAGAAAAAAAAAAGATATATCATGTACAGGTATAAATTCCCTATAATGAATGTTACCATTTTGTATACCTAAACTGTATCAATAAACATAAATAAAATGATAAATAAATAAATAAAAATTGGAAGAAAGAAAAAAGAGGCCTTGCAGCAACACTTGCCTCATCAGAAAATGGAAATAATTCCCCTAGTCTCAAGTCAATATGCAGGAGCTATTTTAAATACCTTATGAAGAAAAGTTGAATTGAGAAATAGGAGAAATCCAGGAAATTAGAGCGATAGGTTTTGTTGCCAAACTTAAATAAAAACTGTCTTTAAAGCAGAATCCCTGGGGCTGGTGAGATGGCTCAGTGGTCTAAAGCACCTACTTAGAACAAGCTTAGCAAAGCACAGGGACTGTGGTTCAATCCCC